CTCTTTCCCAAGCTTGTAGTGCTGCATGGAAAAGAGCAACCTAAAATCTAAGTGATGGCATTGAATTGTGCTTCATATTACCTCATAAAAATAACTCTTGGTCTCCTCAGATCTGACCGGGCTTTTCCTCAAAATATAATTTCTTCTTTTTAAAAGTCACAGTAAATTTCAATTCTAGGCTGCTGATAGTGAAACAACCAAAGTTGCAATTAATGCTAGTGGGTTTTAAAAATTCTGATAGCTGGGTGACACTGTGAAGAAAGCGTCTCTCAATATTCATAGAATCATAGAATGTATTGGGTTGGAAGGGACCTTTGAAGATCATCTAGTCCAAGTTCAAGTTAATATTGCTTGTTAACACTTTTTAGGATTTCTGTGGGGAATTTAAAGTCCAGATGTCTATGCTGAGTGGGGAAAAAATGAAATATGAGACTGGAAAATGGAGAATAATTTTTATTTGTAATTATTTTAGGTCAAGTATACACCTGAGAAGAAACAAAGGCTAGACAGAAAAAGGTGGTGCTGCTCAGTCGCAGTAGAAAGAAAAACTGTCAAGAGAAAAATAAAAAGAATAATACATTGTTATATGAGATGGATGAGTACAGGAACCTTCTGGCAATGAGAGAGTACTGACAAATGGAAGGGAAGGTAGTCCATTAACCGGCCAGGAGATTCAATCTTACAAACCAGTGGGCTGAGATTGTGCTTTCTGAACCTCACCAGTTACTTGCTGTTTAGCATCAGCACCCTCATGCGCTGCACAAGGCACCTGGTTTCAGATGTTTGCTGTATCTTGAGCTTGCATTTCATGCAGCAGAAGGACAAAGCATCATTGTTTTCCCTTGCCCCATGACCTGGGAGTTATCAGGGGTTTGTCAGTGAGCCAAATCTGACTCCTGGCCCTCAGGAGAAAGAAAACAGGAGTAGATGTAGGACGATGACAAGTGTCATAGTTAGTACATTGTGGCCAAAACCGGAGAAAAAAATCTCTCCTGATTAGTGATAAATAGGGAAGGGAAGTTTAAGAAGAGTCCTGCTTATCATTAGGAGCCACAAAGCAATTCAGCATTTAAACATTACACAAGGAAGAGAAAAATAGTAAATTTCTATTTATAATCAACTTTTTATTCTTAGGTGGAAAAAAAATCAAGTTTCAAATTAGAGAGTAAGGATTTCACTAATTTCACTCCTATTAATCAAAGTTCTCTACTAGGAAGCAGACTAGAAATTCCCACAACCTCCACACCTTTTGGTATGAAAAGGCTTAAATACCCATTTGGATGTATGAAAGTAGCACCATCTCAGTTTGAAAAAATGATTCTGAATACTGTATGTAATCGACTTTTAACTCAGGAGCAGCATACCAGATGGTTTGATAGATGTAACCATGGGCAAAGTCAGTTATGAGTATGATGTTGGGCCCCTGATCTGAAATTCAGTGCAAGGTTTAATTAAGCTTGGCTTGTGCAACAATTCAAAACACTCTTGCCACCTAAGTCAGCCTTAGGCCTGAAGTCTTGCTGAAAGATTTCACTAGCTTAATTGGTTTCCCAGGCTAAATTTGTGTTATTATGGATAAGAAGAGAAATCTTTGCATCAGTGGATCAACCTCCATACTGATCCTAATGCAACCTGGTCCATGCATGGATCCCCAATCTCAGAATTGCTGAATCAGTCAGAGAAGATAGGTCCAGTGCTATGGTTTTATGCTTTATACTGCATGCAAAGAGGAGAAATACCTGTTGTAGCAAAAACATAAAGGTGTGAACAAGTGATATTTGATCGGTCACAAATTCTGCTGGCACAAAGTTAATCTGTTTTAATAACATTGAATCAGTGAATTTTACTGGATCAGTACTTATATTATGTGGCCATTGTGTTTTTGATCTGATACTGGGAGCCCTAGAGACAGGCTTAGTGCATCAGAAAATAATTATTCAAACTGGTCTGAAAACATAGGTTAAATATTACAAGAAACATCTAAAAGCATGAAAAAATGTAATTGATCTGCACTCTAAAACAAGGATTGATCTGCACTCTAAAACAAGGAGAAGAGGCTCTGATGCAATCAGAGCAATAAAAGGATAGAGACAGCAGTGAAAGACAAAAGGCAGTTTTTCCCCATTATAGACTGAAAATAAATTAGTTACTAACCTATCAATCTGCAATCAACAAGATTTGGGGTTTTCTGCAGGCGACAAAGCTTATTCAGTATCTATAAGTCTTGATGAAAAGAGAGCACCTAAGGGTGATGCTGAAGCAATATTTTCTATAGTTTTGTTACATTCTGCTTACCTTTCACTTCTGTTTTCAGCTCTTTCCAGAAAGGCAGCCTGGCTTCTGGCTTTCAGAAACATGTTGGGCAGAGTGGAAATTTTGTTAAAGTGCGTCTGAATGCCTTTCTATCAAATTTTAGAGGAAAAGTATCATGCAATTTTTTACTACTGTGTGGCTGATAGGTGAAT